GTGGCCTAGGCCTCACAGCCTGGAATAGCTTTACTCATTCAAGCCACAATCAAGCTGGTAGTTTTAAGGGGTGGTGGGAGTCGGCCTAACCTACTGTATGGAGTATTTTTGTTAGCCCAGTAGCCGAGGTCGGAAAATTGTCGTTTCGTTCAACTCACGGGTCAGAAAAGGTTTGATACTGGATTTTGGTAAAACAAGACCTCCTGATGATTGCCTAATAATTTGTAAGGTCCATTTGTGGTATAGGTTTCGAGTAAACGGCGTTTTACTGTATGTCACGCACCTTTCGGTCCTGCATGAAAACGAGGCTGGAGCCTGAATCACCATTTACTTTCTAATTCTTTGTTTAACAAAATCGCTAAAAAATGGTAAGTTACTTATTGTTCAACGACGTCGACCTCTTTCTCAATTGTGGTTAATAGAATACTCTTATAAGTTTTTCTCAAGTTGCTATCTTGTTATGCGAGTGCGCATGGAATTGACTCGCTACTAAGTCGTTATTCGTTACCTACCTTTTTAAAGCTACGAGGCTTCACCCTTCCTTCTTCGCTAGTGCAAGGCTTGTGATGCAGTTCCCGTCGGGAATGTGTTAATGATGTCTGTAGGTTTCTCCTGTTTCTTTATGATGAATTTATGATGAATGCTAATCTGACCCGTGAACGTGACCCATTGAACGTGACTAGCTCAAGTTCCCGATTTTTTGTCTGCGCTTTGACACCATCATTCCTCCAGTTGGAAATGAGTTATCGCATGGTCACGTCCGTAGCTAAACCCTTAGTTTACGTGTCCCACGCCCCCTATTTTTATTAAAGTTATACATGTACTTTAAAATACGTGGGTGACGCAAGCATTTTCTGTGTGCTCGGGTCAAGTGAGGTGGAACGATGTCTGTCCTTCACCGCGCGGTCAACTCGAGAGAAATTTGTAAAAGCTATAGTAAAAAGTAAATTACTTCAAACCTATGATTTTAGTTGTTTCTTTCACTGTTCGAATTTTTTGCACATTATTAATATGCTATTAATTTACCAAGCATTTTCCTCAGAACAAGTGCTCTGAAGAGTTCTAAGTGTTTCAAAACTAGAAGTTATGTCACAGCCCGTGCTGTCGGACAACCTCACCAGGGCGCGAAGAAAGTATAGTGTGGCTGAGCTTTGGTTTATACTGGTCGGTTTGAAATTTATTGCTTTGATCTTGTCTGTTCCTTGATTGTTGTTGCTGTTTTTATCAAATCGCTGTGCAATTAAAAAGAAGTATTGACGAATATTTTAAAGCAAGTGGCTGTGGAGTTTAGAACAATTATTATTATATTGGTACCGAAGAAAGAAACAAATGTTCATGCATATCAAGAGAGGATAAAGGGGCCCTTTATCCTCTCTTGTGCATACATAACAACGCTACGAGTTCTGTTCGACTGTTCATTTCCAACGCAACTGGAAAAACAGGCATATTGATAAAGTTAAGGCCTGTAGTTATTTGACTTTCTTCCTGTTCCGTTCCAGTTGCATAAGTGTTTCAGAGATGTTTTTGAAATGTATAAATGTAATTCTAAGTGTAATGATATATTTGCTTTAATTGGTTTCTCAGATACGTTTTATCTCGTCGTTCCGAAATATATTTTTTATTCCGCTTATATGCCCCCCGGATGTAAGTGATGCTCCTTTAGGCTATTTTCACACTATACTGGATAGATTTTGCGCTGGAAAAAACGAGAATCTATCCGGTAGATAGTGTGAACACAGCCTAATTTAACTTCACCCTCAGTTGTCGAAGAAGATATATACGGCTACCTCTCAAGTTTCCCGGATGAGGAAACAAAAAATGCAGTAACTCAGTCTGGCAAACGATCAACGATATTTCTCTAGAAAAGCAAAAGCCAGGGTTCATCATCGGTCGCCTTCAGTTTCGCTTGCAAGTTAAACAAGGCAATAAGAAAAGGCTTGATTTTGTTTCACAAAGCCCAATAAGCCTGTCGTGAATGGCGAAGACATCGATGCTGAGCGGATGACAGTCGTTGTCCTTTGTCGTTGTCCAACTGAGTCATTCCATTCTTGCTTAGAGAGCTGCACGCGATGGAGATTCATGCATATCATCATTATATTTAGCAGAACTGAAGATAAATATATGCCGCAGGATAAAGGTCAAGTGGAAGAAATCGCTGTACGTGCTGTAAAAACGAAAATAATGCCTTGAATAACTTCTTTACGTTCGGTCATGACGTGAACGGAGTTCTTGGTGGCATTTTGAATACGCAAGGAAGAATCCCTAACGAGTATGGAAAAAAAACGGAAAAAAGAGTATTGCATGAAACTGAAGTGAAAGAAAGGGATACACGGAACAAGAACCCCACTAGACTTTTCTTCGTTATGGTAGAACTCAATTTTAAGGTTTGGGCTTATGCCACATCGTAAGGGGTTTGCGTGGGCTTAGAAAGATGCGAAGGCGGGAAAGAGATGCCGGGGTGCATATATCCAGTTGAGCGTAAGTGTTTATGATATTTAAGAACTCCAGTAATGTAAACACACTCTCTTTATTGCTTGCTATTAAGAGAAGCCAAAAATCTTGTACATAAAAAGCAACTGTTATCATAAAATACCTGTATTAAATTTACAATTTCTATAAAATTTATGCTTAAGAGGGGTATAAAACTATTATCACAATTCAAGAGTTTACGATAACACCGTCTCTTCAAGGAGTTTTAGAGACTTAAAGAATAATGCTTAATGATAAACGTAGGTTTTTTTTTACAATCGATACATGGCAAAAAAGATAATCACTAAAGTACTAATGCGGTGGTATGGTAGCGAAATATAATTCTTTTTAAGTAAAAATCAAATATCCACGAGGCCCAGTCTTTCTCTAGTGCCTTGAGGCCGGCTGAATGGCCTGGATATTATGATTAGTAGGGGGAATAATTTGTACCGATCAAATCAAAGTGACCGATTTCTTTGACTGTAATCCATTGACGGGTAGTTTTAACAAATAGATGCAGTATTTATTCGATTAAGCACCGCGGCAGTTTCCAATGGTGCGTTTATTCAAGGGCGGCGTTTATTTCGAAGTCACTTTTTTTAAATCACTGACAACAGTTATTGTAAAGCGTTTGTAAATACTATGTAATGTAAAGGTTCCAATGTCTCTCTTATTTTGCTGAGATAGAATCATAAATCAGGTTTGGATGGTGTAAATACCAAGTTGTGCCGACGTTTTTCTTATTTTCCCCAAGTAAACACCGTATTCTTCCTATTAGGTGAGGCGTTTCAGTATTGGAGGGCGGGGTTAATTTATAATTTGCTTACATCTGCGCCAAACTGCGAGATGGACTCGTAACGCCCCTGGATTTGACTGGCAAATTCAAAAGAATATTTGGTATCCCTGGTAACTGCTACTTGCAACAGGCCGAGGAGTCCATGCGTTGAAGAAAAAAACTACTTTGGGAGGATTACGTGATATCAAGATCTCTCCTTTTAACCCCCTAGGCCCCAATATCCACATGCAAATTTTCCAGACTGATCTCCATACATTTCCGTAAAGAATAAGTTGAGAGAATTTGATAATAGATCAACGAATTTTTCAATAGGTGATCATTTTATAAGTTCTTCTAAACTTTCCTCATGATTAAGTATTGATATTTTTAGAAGAAAATTGAGAATTATATTAGTTTTAGAGTATACTAAATACTTGTTATCCGCAGCAAAGGCATCATAATCTGGACACAGTGAAAGCTATAAAAGCTTTAAAAGTTATATCAATTTTAGAGTACTCACTAAATACTCTTTATCTGCAGTCTATATCGATATAGTTCATTTCATATACTTCGTTGACAAATACTTTTTGTTTCTTGGTCTTGGGTTTCAACTTGCTACACTATAGGATTCTAATATCGTGCATTATATCTTATTATACAGTATTATATCTTATTATACAGTAAAAACCCGCGACTATTAAGAACCTGCGTTCTCGCAAGTTAGCCTAAACAAGCTTAAACAGGTTCTTGCTTAAATGGCAATTAGCACAAATCTAGACTATTTAGGTTCTTGGCCCGGTTCAGACACCGGACGTTTCATGAGCCGGACCGACCTAATCGGAATAAAGGCCGACCCAGATTACTTATACCGGCTGAATTTATTCAGTCACCGATCTTAATTGCACCTGAATTAAGTTCAAAGGGCGAAAAATGCTCATTTCGGTCAAACTACTTACAAAATACGTTATAATAAGTTCTGCATTAGGTTCCGTACCTGAAAAGTTCGGCTTCTGAATCAAAGCCGTTCCAAAGTCGCTTCAAAGGCGAAATTCCCGGCCGGGTTAGGCAAAAAAAAACAGCTCAGCGGTTCCGAATTGAAACAAGCGTTTGCCTAACTGATTCAGACGCTGAACTTTTCATGTACTTAATTCAATGTATTAGGTTCGGCTCATGAAAAGTTCGGGCCTAACAAAAAATAAATTGTAGCTGATTCTTTATACAAAATCTGCGTGCCATTATATTGCAAGATACAAAGAGGATCCTGAATGTTGACTTATCTTATTTGCCCAATTATACAGAATTTTTAGATTTTAGAAAATAAGAACTTGTTTCAGATTTTAGCCTAACAGATTCTTAATAACCACGTTCATAGTCGCGGGTTTTTACTGTAAAAGTATGGTTTTTTAAACAGAAGCGAAACGCATTGTGTTTCTAGCTTTTCGACAGTCCCTGCTTTATAGACTTTATAAACAGAGAGGGAAAAAAAAAATTGCATGCCTTACATACAAATAGTCAAAAATATTTTACAACTAAGCATTTCCTTTACTTATACGTTTTCTTTTTGCACAAAAAGATTATGAAAACCTGGCATTTTCACTCAAAGATGACTTCACCGCAGGACAGTTAAGACGATACATGTCGTGACCATGGTCCCTTACTTTCGTCAAATTTTTCCAAAATGTGCCGTACGTATACGCCCACCCATCTTAAAAATGCACGCAAGAGCATTACTCAACAACTCAACCATTACTAATGATTATACATACGACTCAACAGTCGAACTGCTGGTGAAACGATCGTTTGTCAAGTATTCATTCTTTTCATAGAAGCTGCAAATTTCCTTAGCGATGTCGTTCCGTCCTACCTCTTGAAGTGCAAGAACAAATTCTCGGAGCTTAAGGCAATATTTTGTATGCAATATTTCGGTTAACACTTTAGCTGGACTTCCTGTGTGATGATTATATTCCATCTCTAAAGTATTCATAACCTTAACAGGAACACCCAGCTGACGACCCACATTATACCAGCTACTAATACCTGTAGTTCTTGTATCCAATGTACAGATGGATTTCTCCACATCGTAAGGCAAATCTGATAGGTCCACGTCTGTGAAACAACACCAAACAACGAAGACAGTGAGTCAGCACTATTTTATATCGTTTAATTTTGCCCTTTTGGTTACAATAATTTTGTGAGTAATCAGAGCGAATTACAATGCCTTGACAAAGAATGTAATACCTGTTGGGCCTGTAAACACACTTCATCGCAAAGAAATCCCCTAAATTGAATATACCCCTGACCTCTTTTCCCGACATTAATCACAGTAAATTGGAGGGACAGATTAGTTTTTGATTACGGACTCTTCCAGCTAAAATAACCCATAGGAGTAGCTTATTTTAGTGTTCAAGCTTGATGTTCTATAACCGGAAGACATAAAAACTGATGCCTAAGTGCCTTATTTGTAACACCTAGAGCCTCTGTTTCGACTCTGTTAGCGTGATTACTCGTGTATTTTAGTGTTAGATTTAGTTTTCTAATTTAATTTTAATTTATTTTCTATAACAATTTTTAAATGTAATTTTTATATGACTCTTATCAGTTTTTTAGGCTTTTCATCACAATTTAGGACGATGTTATATAATTTTGCTTGTACATTTTATAGTTTGTGTATACATGTATGTTAGATATAAAAGTAAGGCGCATTTGATCATAATATTCATCTCTTAATTTTCACCAGACAGTCAAGCAAATCTTTGAAACAAGTTAAAGACGAATTTTGCAACATCTAGACCTGCGACTGAAAATCCAACGTCAGGAATTTAAAGCATGGTGTTTGGCAAATAACCTCCATGAAAATAAAACGAAAATAAATTTTGGGTCTTATATTTTCACTAGTCAAATGAACTAATTACTCAATTTACTCCAAAGCATCATAACAATGCTGCTTATTTAATATCATACTTCCTAGCTCGGAAATTTTGGTGTAATTCCTTTTTTGCATTCTTGGAAACTAACTGTCTTTCTAGCAAACACCATGAAAAACCCATAACTTAGTCTTTATGATTTGTGCAATGATGAGTCAACCTTTCATTAAATTAAATTTATTCACTGCAAGACCTTCAAATGCCATGCCGAACGGCCCAGCCTACAAACAGGCCAAAAAGTCTGCGTTGTGATAATCTCTGTTCTGACGTTATGCTAATTTTTTTATATTGATGCGCACTAAATACCACTGAATGATTGATACATTTCAGTGTTATTAATTATGCGAATTTTAAAGCTGCATTTTTTACTTTGGCGTTTTCACAATGCCAGCATTAAAAAAGCCTCTGGGACGGAAAAGGAAGCTACTAACTGAAATTATTTCTAGAAAAAGCCATAACAATAGGTATGTGACTTAAAAACAGCGATAAGGTGACGGGAGGAGCCAGAAACGCAAGCTGCATGTGTGGGACTCCCCACCCCTCCCTTGAAGAGTCTCCCCGGCCCCTCCTGAGAGTCTCTACGGGCGTAAGTACGTCATGACCAAATTTTTTTTTGCAACGATAGGTTTCCAATTTCTATAGCAATAAAGCCACCCCGCCACCCGCCTTGGGCCACTTATGAATCCGCCCATGGGGTTGTTTCTGAAAATAAACCAATATGGTCGTATCTAGACTACGAATAGTCCCCCATTTTTCCTCAGGGATAGTAGAGAAAGCAAAACGCAAGCGCGCTGAAAATCATCCCACGCGAGAAAAGGCGACACGCGTGCGCCCTCGCGTTTCGCTTGCTCTACTATCCCTGGAGAAAAATGGGGGACTACTCGTAGTCTAGGTCGTATCTAAACATGTAGCGCTCTGCAAGACATCCTCCGAGACCCAGGGGCGGTCAGTCGGGTAGGTATAAAACGGCGGCGAAAGTTTTCAAGAACGTACGAGAGAGCCCCTGGTATGCTACTCTTAGCGAACCAGTTCCACGACTCATTCAATTGTTTGTCTCAGATTGGCTTCGTATAAAAAGATCACGAAAGCAGCGCGATAGATGCTGGCTTCCGATTGGGCACAATCAGAGACAAGCATTCGAGTGATTTCAAGAACTGGTTTGCTTTGAGTGGCATTCCAGTGTCTCTCTCGACCGCGACCGTTCTTGAAAACTTTCAACGCCGTTTATCCCGACCTGAGTGACTGCCCCTGGCCTTTCTCCGAGGATGACTGCAAGACGAACGTCTTTGGTAATTTTCAGTCTTAAATATTTTCAAAGGGAAGAAAATATGACCAGATAGGAGGTCCAGAAACACTCTATTTGGGCAATGGATCCTCTGAACTGGGTGTGTTTGGAGCATACAAACACTCCATTCTTTGACGGTTGACTTATAAAATTAGCTTTCTAACGTTTGATGGCTAAGATTTTGGCGATTTGACTGTTTAACAATTATTCCTCGAGCCCGAATGGGCTTTGAGTCAAAAGCCCATTCGGCCACGCAACGCTGCGTGACTAAAAACGGCTGTGTAGCAGACTAGCCGAAGGCCGAATGGGCTATTGACTCTGAGGCCATGAGGACGAGAGGAATAATTGTTTTAGTAAAATCCAACTAGTTGGTCAAAGATTTCGAGAATAAAAATTTTTTAGCTAGTGAAAGCTAGACTGTAATCCTTTTTTGCCGCCAAAAACCCCGCGCTTTTCGTTACTAGTGGGCTATTAAATAAAGCCTAGTAGTAGGTCAACCAATCAGAACGTAGCATTGATAATAGACCACTAGTTGGATTTAACTAGTACCCGTTATGCTGTTGTTTTCAATTTTCTTTGATTCTATACCTTCGGGAATGATGGATATGTCGATATCATCACGTTTGACTCCAGTGAATCCTGCAGGAGTCTTCTGCTTGCAAATGAGCACCATAATAACAACCAATACACTGGCAATAAACAAGCTGACCAATACACTGACTACTGTAATCAAGCCAGTCTTGTCAGTGCGGACCTTTGGTGGTGATGGCTTCAAAGCCTTTTCTACCCGTAATGTGGGCTTGTTAGAGGTGGCCAGGGACTCTGAGGCATTGGTGGTTAATGGCTGCCGAGACCAGGTGCTGCCGTGTCCTGAAGTTTTAGGAGTAATAGTTCCTTTATTAATCATAGTTAAAGGTTCTTTGTCTTTTTCCGCCACTGAGACATTTGTATTTATTGGTGTTATCGTGACAGACATCTTAACACTGGTTTGATGAAATAAGGTCTTGCACCTCTTATTTTGTTTTGTCTTTAAACACTGCAATCTACGAGGCATTCCCAGATCTTTGCATTTCTGAAGTCTATCATGTTCTGGAACATTTTCACAGCAAAAAAAACATTTGGTACAGTCATCATGTTTATCAAGGAAATATCCTGGGGGGCAAGAATTGGCACATACTCGGTTTCGCCGTGGAGTGCAATGTTGTAATATTTTCTTTAAGCCGCAGAGATTGCACGACTTGCAAGAGGATGAGTCATATCTTTCAGAAAAGGTCTCGTTGGCCTTGCACGACTTGCAGTCTGTGTCAGTTCCATTTTCTATATTAGAGCCACACTGTACTGGAAGACCTTGTCCAGGGGGGCATTTTGGACACTTCTTACATCTTCGCTGTCCATTTGCATCCACAATTGTAAACTCCGAGGATGGTGAGCAGCGACATTCAACGGCTTCAAATACAATGCTGATGGTCAGAAAAACTTGCAGGACTCTCATCTAACAATGATAATGTAAAACAAAAATCAAAAACATTTTCTTGTAAACCAGTGCAAAGGTTTTTTGCCTTTGAAGTGTATCTCGAGGTAGCAAAGTAAAAGTATTTGACCTCAGAGATAAGAAAAAAATGAGCAGTATAGATAACATGTTTTTAAAGGCATCACTCGTTAAATAGTGAACATCAACGACAGTATCTTAAAAAAAGCTGATGGTGCCGTTGCAGTATAAACCCGATGAGGGCGATAATGCATCACTTGACCCAGCTCACATCAGTTCGGAATTAACTCTGGCTATTAAAAGATACCCCAAGCCCAAGAATAGCATAACAGGTCGGAATATTTTGGGGGTTTGTATGAGTAATTTAGCGATCCTTACTCTTTACTCCCGACTAGTATCCTTTTTTATTTATGGTGGGTTCTTAGCATTTTTGGCCGTTTCAGATCAGCGCGTTTCCACTGCGAGTTTTATAGTTCTGCCGTTGTTCTCTTTATATATTATTCACCAAGACTGGTTAATTCGCGAAGTCCTCGCATATTCACCGAGAGAAATCAGCTATAAATTTACTTCAAATGCTCCAATCGCCTGGCCTCCAGATTTAACCCAGTACACGTTACAATCCTCCTCTAACTACAGTCAAACCCCGTAAATACGGTCACCGAGGGGGTCAAAGAAATTGTCCGAATTAACGGGGTGTCCGTAAAGTGGGATTTGACTACACCGCTTTTCTTCATTGGACGAAAGAGACCGCAAAGCGTGAAGTCCAGCAAGTTTTGAAAACTAACGACTCTCTTTCATCGAGGATGTCGATGATTCTTTGCACACACGGCCAGTGGAAATCTGGCCTTAGTCCGGCCTTGCGGTTCAAGTCACCTGCACACCCGGTGGACGAGGGGACAATGATGTTATTGTTTTAACCTCTTAATAACGATTGCCAAAACTAATCCCCATATGAACCATTACAATATTTCTGCGTTTGTCTTGGTTCATTCTTTGGCGGTAGGTCCAAATATTTATGAGTAAGCATGACGAAGCATTTGTCTAGATGCGCTTTAAATACTTTAACGACACCTGGCACCACCGATGGATGGTCATGGATAACCTTGCTTAAAGTTGTGTGTTTTTTCTTTCCTGTGTGGTTTCCGAGCCGATTTATGGCCATTTAATAGGTTTTATTGCAACCGGTTTGCTCTCTCTTTTTCTAGTAATGGTCTCCAGAGAGAGCAAACCAGTTTCAATAAAAGGATAAGTCATCGAAGTCGCACTTTTGCATACAGTAACTAACAGCCTCAGATGAGTTACTGTCAAAAGGCTACGCATCAGGCGTTCGATAGTGAAGAGGAAAGGGGACTGGAACTCGCCAAATCCTGAAAGCTGAAGTACTGAAATGGAATCGATCGATTACCTGACGGTTTATCGTCGACCATTCCCATGTTACTTCAGGCTTCCTCTGTTTCAATAGCCAATAAAGTATATTCGCCGTTTTTATTAATCTAGGGATCAACTAAGCTTTCTATCGGGCTTAGATGTCAAAATTTGGATTGCTGTTGAAATTTGCTTTCAGTACTTTAGGGACTAAAGGGTTTAAGGCAAGGATGAATAAGGAAAGTTACCTTTTTTCCAACTCAGTCAGAGCAAAGTAGGAAGCTGTGAATGCGATTGTGAACATGTTCGTGTTTGTGCTGGTTCATTCTTTGGCGGTATGTTGAAATATTTATGCTGAGTAAGCATGACGAAGCATTTGTCTAGGTGCGCTTTAAATACTTTAACGACACGTGGCACCACCGACGGATAACCTTGCTTAAGTTGTGTGTTTCTTCTTTCCTGTGTGGTTTCCGAGCCGATTTATGGCCATTTAATGGGTTGTATTGAAACTGGTTTGCTCTCTCTGGAGACCATTACTAGAAAAAGAGAGAGCAAACTGGTTGCAATAAAACCCATTAAATGGCCATAAATCGGCTCGGAAACCACACAGAAAGAAGAAACACCCGGCTTAAGCAAGGTTAGCCGATTTTTATTTAATTCCTTTTACATTGGTAGGCTACAGAAGCAATTGTTTTTTCTCCCATACAAATCCTTATATTTTGAACTTTACGCAACAGTGCCGGTGCTTGGGCCATCCGTGGTGAATGGTGGCACCTGAAGAGGGCACTAAACAAAGAAGCAAACGCAAACAAAAAAGGGATCATCAATCTTATGGTAATGGCAAAAGTACAGATTCAATTTTATAAGATGAAGTCCGTGCTTCTTTAACTGGAGGAGGTTGTGACAGGAACCAGGTTTCAGGTGCTAAATTTAGCCTCTTTGTTTGATGAGTTTTTAACTGTCTCGTGAGCTTATCCCATTTTTGTATGGTTTATGCAATGGTTGAATTTCTTTAGGGGACATCTTCGCATAACAAATTCCTTGCAACGCATTACATTCGAAACTGACAGTTCAAGATCATATAATATTTACAAGCGAAAGTGATCTTATTTCATTGGTATTACATTCTCTTTCACTTTCACGGGGTAAACCCCACTTTTATGAGAGATTATTACGCATGATTTGTTCTTTTAAACACTAGTCTTTCTTTTGGATCTGTAACTGAAAGGCTCCACGGTTTTAACGCTTTAAATGAAATTAATACTGAGAAACCGGGAGCAAATCGGGGAAAGGGCAAAAACTGTGGAGTCTAAATCTTGGGTTTGTTTTGTTGACACTCGGCAATGCTTTGTTGATAATCACATAAAAAAGTCTAGATATGTATAATTTGAAAATATCTTAGGGCTTTAATAAAAGGGTCAACTTAATCAATCTGCTGATATTTAGAAGACACCGGTTTTTGCTTTTTTATTAAGTGTGAGGGAAACCTATTGTATTATCCAGTGTTTGTAGTGAAATATCCGGTGGATAGTGAACAACTGGGACCAGGCTCTCGAAAAAAACATGGGTGATGGCGGGTATCGAACCCTCTACCTTTGCTCCGAAGGTTAGGCGTTAATGCTGTAGAAGGCCTAAGTGAAATGACCCTAAATGTAATTAAGTCCTAAATGAAATAACAGTTCACCCTGAATGTAATAAACTCTCAAGTTGCCTATTACGGTAATTACTCGAATAGGCGCTGCCCTTAAATAAGCGCCGCACTTTTCGGAGAAAAAAGTTAATAAGCGCCGCCGGGCTAATTCGCGTAAATTCGATACATTTCCTTATGCACTGTGGAACTGTTTACAATGAATTATAAACGACAAAATAATTTTTTAAAAAAACTTGTAAGCCTTAAAAAGGTTTTCACAGTTCATTTTTGTTAAAGAAATTTACTGGAAAAACCGTGAACGAAGATCCTGCTGCTTGTCAACGTTGGATCTCTAGAAAAGAGATCTAGTCAGCTTAAAAGAACAAAAAACGAGGATTCCAAAGACTACTGCACAGCTTATAACAGCGTTAATTTATAAAATAACTAAGATAGTACGCGGGCTCTGATTGGCCGAGAGGTGTGTTTTCATGAGAGTATGTATTAAACATGGTTGTGGCGTCAAGATGTTTTGCTGTTAGCTCGCTAATCACGCAAGCACGAATTTGAAAAAGCATTTGAGTCGAGAACTCGACAAATTTCCTTTTTCTTTCCTGATTTCCTCGTCGGCTGAAACTTTTGAAAATTTGCACCACATGCTGTGTCAAGTTTTTTTTCGCTTAAGGTGACATTTTAAGCGAGAAAACCCCTTATTTTGGAAAGCATCTTTATTCCAAAACAAGCACTGATTAACACTACAAGCTTGCTTTTTTCTTCGTCTCGGGTTTGCATAACTGTTTCGAATTCTCCCAATCTCTCTGTTTATATCAGGCTATGCAAACACGGAAAACGTTTTCTGTTGCTTGAGTACTGCTTTTTCAGAACAATATTTCGGCTGGCTATATCAGCCTTCTTCAGCCAAAATGTTGTTCTTGATATTGTTCATTTTTGTTTCTTGCAATGTTTTGTATAATGCTTAATAAGTATATTTAATAGACAAGAAACTGTTATTTTGTCGTTTACGAGTAATTTATTTGTAAACGTTAAGTTCACTACCGAATTTACGCGATTAGCGCCGCGGCGCTTATAAACTTTTTCCTCCAAAAATGCGGTGCTAATTAACATTTATCCCCCCCCCCCCCCCCCCCCCCCCCCCCCCCGCCTTTTATTTGCGGCCGTCGCCTTTGGTTATATTAAACGTTCTGGCATTAGAGTTTTTTTCTTTATGTTGAAAAGTTTTTTCTAATTTATGTTCTCTTTATATTTACATACAAAATT